TACTCGTTTACCGACTTATCCCATCTTTAATTTACCAAATTCAAACCCGCCAATTATATGCCAACCCGCATTGAGCAAGCGTGGTGATTAATGCTTATTCGTGTGAGAAAAGGCCTTTGCTCAATAAAACATTTATAAACTGTTGGTGGTAAGCTATTGGAGAGGCGTATAACCAGCTGTTGCGAGGAACAGGCTACTGCTGATAATGATTATAAAATCATTCAAAGAAGTATAAACTTCTTGATCAATCTGACAACTTGTCCAACTAAAAGAAACGTAACGGCTAGTGGAGGTTGAAATAAGTCGTTTTTTTTCTTTAATCCCACGAGACTGCGGGCGAAGCCGTTGGCAGAAGCCAGTAGCTTATGCATTGTTCTTTTTTTTTTTTTTTTTTTTTTTTTTTTTAATTATTTTATTTCTTATTCTCCACGGACTCTTGTCCGTGCCCTTGTCATTCCATTACATTATCTTTTAATTTACAGTCAAAATTAATTGTTACAAAAATCTTACGTGCTACATTAACCACATTTTTTTTTTCCACAAAGAAGGTTGTGTCTAATATCTATATATACACAATACATGTTTTATTACATTTACATTAACCTTACTGGATCGGCCCACACGCGCGATGAGCGAGCCGACCTGCTCCAGCAGAAGGCGCCCGTTCACGAGCATGACGTGAGGGCCAGCAATCGGTCCGATCAACCATTTCGTAGGGAACGGAGCGACCCAGTCCACAGCGCCACCGACTGTAGAACATTTAAGAATGCATGACGTCTGCTCACGCAGCAGTAAGCCGATTCCAGTAGTGCCAATGTATTATGTCAGTCTTATTGATAAAATTTACATTACGTTACATTATATTTACTACATTTTAACATTATTAAACACACACAAATATATATTAATGTCACGCTTGCATCACAATTCAAGCTTACAGCGAGCCCTCCCCACCCAAAAGAGCGCCCACTACCGCCATGTCCCTGTTGCTGATAGCCATTTTCAAGTTATAGTCCAGGATCCCCCGCTCACTCTCACCCACCGCTCGTCTGATTAATTTGCTGATCGCGTCGTCACTGATATTCGTGTAGTAAACACAGCTGTTAGTGTGACGGGATATAGCTACCACGGCGTGCGATACACTGTCGTGTATCCGCTGTTTCTTCTCCTCTGTATTCACAACAACCACTGCCGCGTACGAAAGCCCCTGAGCCTCGTGTATTGTGAGTACGCGTGATCCCACACCCGATCCGTATCCCTGGTTTTTAAGGGATTCCTTTTCTACCTGAGTGTGTACCAGGTATAACGTGTTCGGAGGAGATTTGGGTATTCGCGACCCTGAGAAGCTTTTTAACTCAAGGGATCTCACACCCGACGCGGACGAATATATGCCACTGTACACAGTACTAAGAGCATATGCCACATCCATAGGGTTTCTGTGAGTGCAGAGAAGTTCTTGGCTAATAGCCACGACGTGTGTAGGGCGGTTGTAAATGAGGGGGAAGAGGTTGTCTCGGTCAATGAAGGGAAGTTGATTTATGTCACCAATCAGCAGAACTTCTTTGGCCCGAGTTATTCGGGCCGCCGCGCCATCACAATGGCCCCAAAGTGATTCATGAGAGCCTCATCAACCATGATTCGGTGGCAGCTCTCTTGCTCTTTTAATCCGTTCACTAAAATGGATGCCATTGTTCGGACTTTGGATTTGACTAATCCTCCGATTCGGCAGGATAGTTTGCCTCTGAGGTCATTTGCTGCTTCAGTTGTTGTGGTGACGATTAAATCTCTTTCCGCTTCGAATTTGTTTATTATCCATGTAGTTTTGCCGCATCCCGGCACTCCATTTGTCCAGTGAAATGTCGGGGCATCCCAGCCCCCAAAGTCCACGCCACCCGGCCCAGGCTCCGAAATGGATCCCACCATTTCCAAGATCCGATCCTCCAACATGATCCTGGTGCACCCGGCAACTACCACTAAGGAGTCTTCAGGAGGAGTTTTAAATTTCACAACTCCCCGTTTATCCGATTCCTTCTCATCCAGAGATACAAATCCTGCGAATACAAATAAATGCATTGTTCATTACCTGGTGTCACTTGACTCATCGTTGTACCAACATATTTATGATGTCTACCCTTATTGCTGTGTAGTAGTGCTTCGATCAAATTCTTCTGCAACGACTCTTCTTCGTCACTGTAACTAGAACCTTCGACGATTTCCTTCAATATCTTCTGTTTCACCTTCATCTTGTTATCATTCGTCCTAAACAGATTTGATTTCGACAAATGTGCGCTAACTTGCTTCAGGAATGACTGGCCATGTGTCTCCTTCATTTCATTATTTCTCCCAGATCGAACTACTTTATTCTCAGTCAGTTCCCCGGAATCTAAAGAACTACTGGTCTTTTCGGTCTCATGGTATTTTTCATTCACTTTTTTGAATCGAGACTTTAGAGAGCTGGTTTGGAAGTAGCTTGACAAGGTAAGTCCTTGAATATCTTTTTCTTTTGTAGTCTTTTTGGTATCTTGTGTGGTCGTCTTCTTTAAATTAATTCTATGCTTGGATTGCCTCTCTCTTGTACGGGTAAGTAGGTAGTCTTCTCTGGTTGGATATTTGTTTTTTGAAGATCGGAGGGAAGTGATTTTATCGTCTACTTTGGAACCATATTTATGGTTGTGATGTTCGAAAATGTGGTTTGGACCTGTAAAAAGAAGTTTGTGATAATATGACCCTATTCGTTGTTGGAATTTAAAGTTTATAATTTCATCTCGAGTGTGATATGGTCCAAAATGTAATGTAATGTGATGCAGTTTTACTAATAACACTATACATTTATTTTCATTGTCCGAAAATTTTGCGCTCTCCGTAAAATCTAACGGGCTACCGAGGCTCCGGCTCAATGTAGTAGTCTCGGGGTGGTGTGTAGTCAGTAAGAGTCTGACTCTCTCTTCTCACTCAAGACAGTCTGAGAAGTCATTGGATGGTTTTTCAAACGGGGATTACGCTGCACATATAGACTGCAACATCCACTGTTCACCATCACCAGTTACTTTAGTAGTGCTATATAACAGTGGTCCAATCTATTCTCATACACTACTGGGTATTAAGACCCTTTACACAACAGACGTGATTGCGACCCGACTAACGAGACAGTCAATAGATATTATTGAACGGTTATATTAAGCTTGCCCCGTTTGTTTGTTCGGGTCTTTAGTAATTGGAATGTCACCGCCATCAGCTCATTGAAATATAAAATATTTTACTAGTTACCATTCATGATGAACGGAATGATGTCGTCATCATTGGACTTCCTCCTCGGGAAACTGGTCTGCAGCAAGTAGTTGATGGCGTCCAGAAGATCCTGTCTTCTCTCTGACTTCAACAGACGACGGTACGGAGCGAAGAAACTGTCTACCAGACCCTGACAGACTTCTGTACTTGTTTTTGACACTGGAATAAGTATTATAATTATGATGAAGTTTTGATGAGATATAACATAACAATATAACTTTTTATCCCTAAAGCTAAAGGGGTAGGTAGAGGTGCAGGTCATGCACTCTACAATTATATAACATCCACTTTTCGCTATTTATGTTATAAGTCTCATGTTTATTACATGAGACTTGTGGGGTGAGCCAGGTATCAAATACCGGAAACAATTCCTAACTCCGAAAAACCCAGCAATACTTTGCCTGACCCGGGAATCGAAGCCGAGACTCCTTGCCTTGCGACCACTTTGCCAGCGAGGCAGTATTTTGATGAGACGTGGTTTTTAAATTGAAGCCGCGAGCAATATTTACCGGGTTGCCGGGGTTCCAGCTGAAAGCAGGAGTAGAAACGGAATTGTGTTTAGTCAGTAAGAGTCTGATACTCTCTCTCGCCTCACACAAGGCCGGAGGAGTCATTGGACGAATCCCACCACCCTCCAAAATAAATGTTTCACCAATCATATCATGAGTCCCATAATAACAGAAGGTGCGCTTAGCAATCTATGAACAAACCATCAGGATAAGCCTCAAAATCTCGAAGAGCTTCAAACAGCAGCCTTCCCTCTGCATCCTCGTACAGTATGTCGGCGTAATCGATGATGGAGTTCACATCGCTGTCCAGGGACGTGTTCCGTAGCCTTATCATGTGATATACCATTTCTAAAAAAAAAAAAAAAAAAAAAACGAGTAACTACCCGCGCGCGCGATGGTTTGAGTTCGAAACTGCTCCACGACAAAATATACTAAAAAATAGCAAAAGCGACTTTTTGTTGACTTTTTCTCTCTAAATTTGTGCAAATAGTTATTATCAATATGTGTTAGTGTTATCTCAAAAAATCAACAGTTATATCTAATATTTCAAGCAAATAAAAATAACTTTCTTATTCAACAAAGGAAAAAAAACAGTGACAGTTACGGGAAATATAGTGCAGTAACTTATTAAACAGTAATCTTTGATACTTGATAAAAACGACACAATATAAACATTCAAAACAAAAATAAAAAAGAAACATAAATAAACCAGTGCATAAACCAATAAGTGGACACAAAACAGTGATAGGTACATAGCATAATTAACATAACAGTGCTAAAATCTAATTTATAAACAATCTCAAATAAACAAAAATTAAAAAGTGCAAAAAGTGTATAATGTAAAAAAAGAGAAATACCTCTTTTAAAAAAAAAAAAAAAAAGACTGACCAAAGTTCAACATCGTAAAACATTCCAATTGAGATTAAATGAGTCATTTCTAACCGTCCCACTCATTTAAATAAAACAATTATTGTTCAATCCAGTGCTAAATTTCATAAGCAAATAATTAGCTCATTTGGCTCAGTGGCGCTAGGTGGGGTGTCATTCATCGATAATCGACGCGAACCGAGTTCAATCCCCGCAAAGGGAGATTCTTTTTGTGATTTCTTTAAGCCCAGATTTCTACATAAACTAACGTTCACAGCCCCCATACTGTCACTAAGTACTAAAAAACACAACAGAGCGCGCCTGCATCGAATAAAAATGAACTTCGAGAGCAATAATATAACTTATCGGAATAATCCTCGGAGAGCGATCTCCGTAACAGACTTATCAGACGTGGTAAATAATAGCGAAAAAACTATGTTGGATGCTACAATGATGAGTGTTCCGGACAGCTTCCTCCACGACACCATTGACGAAACAAGTGAATTGACAAGTGAAATTATCTTACTTAAACAACAGCTATTCAGCGCACATCAAGAAATTGATAATTTAAACATAGAAAACCTGCGCCTTAAAACCGATCTACAAAACATGATCACAACTTGCAATGCTTACAAAAAAATATGCTCAACGCCTGAGAAAAAACGTAAAGCTCAATTCGTAACAAAACCACGCCAAATTAATTCTCCAAGTGACCTAAAAAACCAGGCGCGAAGTACTGATACCTGAATATAAAACCAGCAAACAAAATAAAGGGACACAGAATGATAACAGTCGTAATGAGACAGCACATCAAATTAGAGAGCCATCTGCTTCTGAACCATCAAAAATTCAGATTGCGAACTCTAAAGAAAAGATTAAGCTGTGCATATTAAGTAGTAACAAATACAACAGATCTTTATCCTCCATAGAAGAAGTATTTTCGGAACATTTCGACTTCTGTAACTACATAATGCCTAACAGTACGATAAAGCAATTACTAAGCGGCATTGATGAAAAATTAAAGAAGTTCACGCTAAATGATTACTGTCTTATCTTCATTGGAGAAAATCATATAACTTCGAATCAAAACTACTACATTAACACTATAAAGTTAATAAATGAGTCCCTTAGTAAAATTACGCACACAAACGTAGTAATTTGTCTTCCTACGTATAGGGCAGGATCGCTTATACACAACTTCAGAGTTGAGATGTTCAACAACCTCCTTCATCTAGACAACCAAAACCATAAATACGCCTATATCTTCGACAGTAATCTCAATCTAACACTTGACATGTTCTCTTACACTACGGGTAGAATCAATAAATATGGGATGAAAAATATTTATGATAATATTATGAGTAACATTAAGATCGATCTACACCTATATTATAAGACAAATATATTGACAAACAGCAACAGCAGGCAAGACTGTGACGGGGATTTAACGAGTCCCACTGAAGACAAATTCAATTCAAGCCTGCAAGAAAACCCTAACTTTTTTCGTTTATAATAGTATACATATCCTTCATCAAAATATTGCTGGACTCCTAAATAAAAGCGATACGCTTACTGTATATCTGGAGGAACTAGAAAATAATAGAAAACAAATCGACATTATATGCATAACTGAACATTTCATGACACCTGAACAAGAAGGAATAGTTAATATTCTAAATTACAGCTTAGCAACAAGTTTCTCCAGACATAATAGAAGAGGTGGCGCGTGTATCTTAACCAGGTATGGCCACAAATTTAAAGTATTAAACCTACAAAAATATTCTTTAATCAACGTAATTGAATGCTGCGCTATTGAACTGATAGAACATAACATTATTATTGTTTGTATATATAGGATACCCCAATCTAATTTGGATAAATTTTTTGAAAACTTGAATAATATTCTTCATTTTCTATGTTTAAAGTTAAATAACAAAAAGATTGTATTGTGTGGGGACTTTAATATTAACATAATGAAAAGGAATAAACAAACTTTAGATTTTGAGTATGCATTGTTAAATTACAATCTAAAATTACAATTTTCTCAACCCACTAGGTTAAGCAGTGGAACCTGCTTGGACAATATAGCGCACAATATAAATGCTTGTAAAGGAGAAATTATAGAATTGGGCTTGTCAGATCATACCGCACAGCTATTGAAATGTCCTGTTAAAAAAACGTGCGTCTTAAAACGTTGGAAAATTAAAAGACGGAATTATTGTCAAGATAATGTAAACAAATTTAGAAATTGCATTAAATGTCTCAGTTTTTCGGATATATATACAAAAAGTGACGTCAATGAGGCCTACACCCGTTTCATTGACTTATTTAAATGTTTTTATGATCTTTGCTTTCCCTATGAAATAATAACAAACTCGATCACTAAAAAAGCTAATTGGATCACTAAAGGAATAAGAACATGCAGTAAAAAGAAACGGCAGTTACTATGGCAATATAGAATGAATCCTACTCGAAGTAATCGGAAATTGTTTAAGACCTATTCTGCTAGGTTCAAAAAAGTTATGACGCTAACACAAACATCACGAAATAACTACTTTATCAAGACATCTCAAAATAAATCCAAAGCGGCATGGACTGTAATCAATAACTCTAAGACCAGTTTCCCTAAAGAACCAATAACACAGATTCGAACAGAAACACACGCATTGACGAACTCAATAAATATTGCTCAGGCTTTCAACAAGTTTTATATTAATCAAGTTTCCATACAAAAAAATAAAACTATGCCAGAAATTAAAATCAGCTCAAATACATCAAACTCTCTGTATATGTGGCCAACAACACCCCAAGATATAATTGGCCATATTAAGTCACTCCGAAACACGAATAGCGTTGGTTATGACGGAATATGTACCAAAGTTATCAAAGAAATATCACGATACATAGCTCCACATCTCAGTCATATTATAAATATGAGTATTTCTAACGGAATTTTCCCTGACCAATTAAAAACGTCGGTAATCATACCATTGCATAAAAAGAATGATAGGCAAAATATGTCAAATTATAGGCCTATCGCATTGATACCAGTCTTTTCAAAAATATTTGAGAAAGTCATTTACAAATCATTGTATAGCTACCTTGAGAAGTCAAATATATTAGTTAAGCAACAAAAAGGATTTCGCAAACAAAAGACAATAAACATGGCAATACATGACTTGCTTCTCCCCATTTTATCAAATATGGATAGCAGAAAACCTGTATGCGCTATCTTTACGGATCTAACAAAAGCCTTTGATTATGTAGATTATTCCGTACTCTTATACAAACTAGAAAGATATGGTATCAGAGGTAATGTATTAGAACTCTTTCGGTCTTACTTGACGAATAGAAGACAATTTGTAGAAATCACACAAATATGTTCGAAAACTTGTTGCGAGAATAAATATAAATCCGAAAGCGAGATAATTAAATACGGCGTTCCTCAAGGTAGCGTGCTGGGACCCCTTCTTTTTTTGGTTTATATTAATGACCTTCCGGAACAAATAAATCACCCTATGGTGCTTTTTGCCGATGATAGTACCGTAGTCATTGAGTGTGACAATCCCAATACTTATGGAAATGAAATAAATATGACATTGAATAAAATGATATCATGGTTTGATAAAAATAATCTAAAAATAAACTTAGAAAAAACTAAAATTATGCATTTTTATCAAAGGATCACAAAAATATCAATAATCTAAATATTAACTATTTGGGGACAACAATTGAACCGGTAACAACTATTAAATTTCTTGGTATTAATATTGACAACAATTTGACTTGGCGATCCCAGACAGACGAAGTATGTAAAAAATTAAACAAATTTGCTTATGTTCTCTATAAATTATCAAAAATTGTAAACTTAGAATCCGTCCTGGCAGCCTATCACGGTTATGTTGTATCAGTACTCAGATATGGCGTAATATATTGGGGTAATTCAGTAGATAGGGAATTCGTATTTAGAGCACAAAAACGATGTCTCAGAGCGATGTGTGGCCTTAACAGCAAGGAAAGCTGTCAACCGTTTTTTATTCGCCTAAAAATTCTTACCTTGCCATCGTTATACATATACGAAACTAATGTGTTTGTCAAAACTAATCTCTCACTATATAAAATAGCCACTAAAAGCTACTACAGAAAATTACGCGACAAGAATAAGTCAGAACTTGAAGTAACTCATGGAAAAACTGCGTTAATGAATAAGAGTATCCTCAGTATGGCCCAAAAAATATTTAACAAACTACCTGAGACAATAAAGACGTTAAACTTAGACAATTTCAAAAAAGAACTATTGAAAATTTTGATAAATAAGTGCTATTACTCAGTAAAGGCCTATTTGGACGACAATTCTATAATTACTACCTCAGACAATAGCGCACAACCCCATTTGTTTTGATGTTTTGAATTTTGTTTGACATTGGCCTATATGACATGTAACTTTAATCGTTTTTGACATTTTATTGAATTAATTCTATTTTATTTGTAATGATATGTATATGCGTATTAATATCTGTTAATGTTATATTTAACGCTAAATAATATGACACGAAAATTAATCTCTCTAGACAAATTGTTAAATCTTGTTAATATTGACATTACTTATGACTTACATATTTGATGATCCTAATTTTATTTGGCATTAGTATTGTATGACATGTTACTTAATCGGTTTCAATTTAATTTACAATTACAAGTGTCAATTAATTTTTGAATGATGACAATGTTAAATAATTTTAATTATATATAATATTTGTACGCCTCTGGGCAAAACATGGAGAATCTGCCTACCTGTAACACCTCACATACCTATGTTTACAAATAAAAATATTCTGATTCTGATTCTGATTCTGATTCTGATTCTGATTCTGATTCTGATTCTGATTCTGATTCTGAGTAATCTGCAACAATAGGTATGATGATAGGGTGTGAAACTTAAATATCCATTTAGTCCACTAGTCAGTAAACTAATGAAAAACATATTTTGTTGCCGTATAAGAAAACAATACTTAGATAAAACGAAACAACGTTTAGAAACGGGAGCTAACTACGTCATTTCTGAGTATACAATGTACATAGAAGTGACGTCACGTAATATTTTAAATCGTAAGAGAACAAAAAATACGTGTTGTAATTTTTGGGAATAAATATTATTAATTTCTATTTCTACTTACTTCGGACAAGTTGAATAGGTCCGTCTGAGACAAAAAGCCCAAATTTTATAATCACATGCGTTGTTGGGTGCCCGAACCAGCCCAGCTTCTTTGATTTCAGCATCCTGGAAGAACATTGACTGCCGTAGGTACTCAGAGACTTCAACTATCCCTCAGTAACGATTTAGTTTCGGAAACAATGGGGGCTAACGTTTTTGCCCACCAGATGTCGCATATGTAGAAAGAGTTTTCTTGTCCAATCATAGCAGCTGTCAAATATTGAGCGTCCAATGGCGTGACACTAGCTAATTCCCTATTGGACGAAGAACAAGAGGTGTGCGTTAGCGCCATCTGACGAGCAATAATACCGTAGGCCCCATTGCCAAGGACTGAGTTAAGTAGTCATTACATTACTCCGAGTATTTATTTATTTTTATTTATTAACGCTTCATGCACAAAGTGTACACAAGGTGGACTTAATGCCGCAGGCATTTTCTCCCAGTCTGACCTTTGGGTGATGCAGAGAAGAGTGAATGGTAGGAGCAAGAAGCAAGCAACGATTTAATTGAGAAAATAGAAGATTATACTAAC